GAAAATGTGCAAATTGCAACCGAAATAACACATCTGAAGCTTGGTGTCAAACATGTGACCCTCAGAAGACAACGCAAAGATGGACAAGTGGAAATAAGGATGTCGATGAATGCATTAAAGAATTTCAACTTAAAGCTACATCTTATGAAAACGTAATCGAATGGATTCCTTTTAATAAATTAGTTAATGTTCAAATGATTGGTAAAGGGGGATTTGGCTCTGTATTTTCTGCAGCGTGGTTGGACGGTAAAAGAATAGTTTCTGGCGAAGATGAGGAATGCACACAATCACGTACGCCATCATGTGTAGTTGCACTTAAAACTTTACCTGGTTCACAAAAGAATTTTTTAAGAGAAGTAAGTTAAAATTATTTATTTATCTAATATAGATAAATTATAATAGATTAATTATTATTTTATTTTATTTAACAAGTTTAAAAATTACACGGAATTTAGATTAGTGGGTAATAATCTTGAAGTGTATGGACTAACTCAAAATACAACTAACAATGAATATTTAGTAGTATTTCAATATGCAAATAGAGGAAGTCTTCATATGTTTCTATCTTCAAATTTCAAAGTGCTTAATTGGAAAAGTAAATTAAAGCAACTTGTTGATATATCTGAAAATTTAACAAAAGTACACGAAGCGGAATATGTTCATGGAAATTTTCATAGCGGTAATATATTGCAAAATCAATATATAAATGGAGATTTAATATCTCATATTGCTGATCCAGGATTATCTAGAAAAAAGGATGATTCAGATTTAGAAGATGGTATTTACGGCGTTTTACCTTATGTTGCGCCAGAAGTGTTAAATAAACAACCATATACAACAACAGCCGACATTTACAGTTTTGGTATTATTATGACTGAGATGTCCACGGGAAGACCTCCTCATTATGATATTGATTATGATGAAGCATTAGCTATTCAAATATGTAATGGATTACGTCCTGAATTTGCTAAAAGCACTCCTGAGTGCTATACTCAATTAGCAAATCAATGCATGGATGCTATTCCTTCTAATAGACCAACTGCGTTTGTTATCCATGATAAACTATCACGATGGCATGAGATATTAAATAATAGTAGTGCAGAAAATAAAGATGAATTAGCAATATTAAAAGCATTCCAGTCTGCAGATGCAATTATTCCGACATTATCAACAGAATTGCCAATTTTCCCTAAAGAAAAACTTACAAGTAAACTGCTTAACTTTAAAAATCTCTCTGAGGCAACTAATTCTTTATCTGCATAATCGATAAAAATTTATGGTGAATAATTACACTTATTATATCTTTTTTTTATTAATTTATAAAAAAGTTATAACTACTTTTTAATTTTTAGGTTCTAGACAATGTGAAGTTTCGATTCCTGATGACCTTCCACTGCAACACCGTCAAAAAAAGTTCGAACATGTGATTTCGTAGACTAAGTAACTTTCCGAGACCAGCAACTAATACAGAATGTAGTAATATAGTAATATGGTGCTACACTCTGGTATGTAATAATTGGAAGGATAAATATTATAAATATAATGATTTGGTCGTATACAGTCAAACCTCTCTATAGTCACCTCCTATATTCTTTATAAGCACATATTTTTAAAAACCAACTATATATTATTAAATATAATAAATTTAACCTCTATAATTGGCACACTTCCCTATAATCACTCTTTTTTGTATCCCGAAGGTGTGACTATAGAGAGGTTTGATTGTACTCGAAAGAATATATCGAATATATTTTTTATTTATTCAATAAAAGAAAATGGCGAAGATAACTACGTAGCGAAACGAAAAATTATTAAATATTCTAAATTACCTCCTGTAACATGTCTGATAAACTTTGTGATTTAGTTAATATTTTAAGCTCCA